TTTTTTTTAGCTACAATTAGAACAACTCATAAGGAACCTTGTAATAAATTTTCAAGTTTTTTTGGTCGTCCAACATTTTTTTACCGACACTTCAAAAAAAAATTGAATATTTCAGTGGTCTATAAATAACTCAAAAAAAGTCGAAAATGTTTGAAAATTAAACTGTATATAGATAACACTGACATTAACATTTGGTGAAAATTTCAAGTATTTACAGTGATTAGTTTTTGAATGACAACCATATAAAAAAATCGATTTGGTCGAAAACTGATTTTGCGTAAAAATTCCCGTWTTTCTGTCATTTTTTTTTTGTTTTTCTCGATTTTTTTGAAAACTGTTGGAAAATGTTTACTTTTGACCTATATAATTCACCAAGGATATTCACTTTTACATCGAAAACCACCCCCAAAGTTTGAAATTGAAGTATTATTTCGACTAGTTATACTGTACAGTGTACACAGACACACAAAAAAAACACATATCATTATAAAATCAATACATTCATCATTTCGTTCAGAATCTAAAATGTTGTTGTCCAAGATTTTGTGTCCGGTTGTTATTTTATTTAAAAATAACTGTTATTGTTATTATTACATAATGMCGTGTATTATTAAAAATTATGAAATTATTATATAATTTAATACAGTRACTAATGCTCGTTATGATAACTTTATGTATTTTGTCAACAAAAGGGTATTTACTATTTTATCTAGATAGATTCATTATTATTTGTTAATCCTGGTGCCCAAGTGAAGGGGTCCCAAGTAAAATATCTATGGTGTAAAAATTAGCAAAAATATGCGCCTTTTGGTCACTTCGACTAATTCGCATGTACACATTCCGATGACATATTACATAATAGGTCCGATAAACTGTATATTAATTAATTATAGCATATAACACTATACTATAGGTTAGGCTAATATTAATGTTAATATTAATATATTTATTACAAACCGCTGTGGATTGCGTTATCGGACGATGCCGTGAGCTATATCAAAGATATAATATGCTATAGACCCGGTATGCGGTAGTCACGTCTCCTGCCGAGGACGAATATTGCAATTTATCTGTGGCCTCCACTGCAGGTTCATTCGTATAATATATATAATGTAAATGACGGTAGACGGCTCAAGTGTGCCTAAAACGTGGTGTTGTTGCTGACGATGTTGATGATGGGTGGTCGATCGATTGTGAAAATAACAAATTCACAACTCAGCACGTCGAACGACCAGAGTAGACTAAGACTCTGAAACTACTAGGTGTGTCGTAGATACACATATATATTATGGTATTTCCATTATCCGGTGGCCGCGGTCATATTACATGAAAAATTGTAGCAGGAGACTACACTTTCGTACAATTACTTAGTGGGCGTATATAATTTGCAGTATTTATAGTAGATATACGGTTTACTAAGACATTGTTAAATATGTGGAAAAATATAATTGTATTTATATACTCTCGGTATAAGACGTACGTACCTCAATATAATAATAAACATTTTATATTATGATAACATATCACCAATGGTATAACCGTATAAGGTGATTTATAAAAATACACGTATTACACTGATGTGCAATAAAAATATATTGCAGACTACCTACAGTACACCGTGTTCTCAGTATTTCCCATAAGGTAGGTCAAACTTTATCAACTTTATTGTTTTACATGCTGTTGTTTTTATTCGCACCCTATGATTTTTTGTCTTCCATTAGTACACKCATCCATATCAGCTCTAACGTTCTGACCTGCACTTTATTTAAAATAGTTTTTTCTTAGATACAGCCTTAGGATTTGAATTTAATTTACTCGCAACTATGTATTTTTTAATTTTTAATATTATATATTTTTATTGTATTTAAATGGTCAGTTTTAATATTTTACATTTGATTTTACTTTAATATAGGAAAGATATAGTTCAGAACAATGTTGAAAGACCACATAATAAATGTATAAATCATCGATAAACCTCATACATACTAAATAGGAYTGTCTTTAGGCTATAATACATATTATTGCACAATATTATGAAACATTTTTACATAATATGTTACGATAAATTAATTTCATGCACGCATCAGTAGGCTGTGAACACTAACCATTAGACAAATTATAGCTATTAATTCCACAACAAAAATTACACTTTTCAATTACAGCAATTATTCGGGTACTCTAGACACTTATTACTAATTTAAGTAATTTATCATATTATTATTAGAAATACGTCTTAAAASTTAAAAGTTTTTAAACACGCATTTCATYAAATAAAATATAAAAAGAAAGCTGGAATCTAAGTACACACGTGGTCCGAGGTAGTCAACCACTTCAAAATTGCATGACAGTTTTTCCCATTTGAAAATGTTCAATTTTGTAGGTGGTTATCTGCAGCTAGTGGAGAAAAAACCACWACCACATGTAGCTAAATCACTACATGTGAAACCAGTCTTAKAATTTATATTATACGCAATTATAGGGTCTTTCTATATTAATCAACTGCATAATATGTTACATCAAAAGATAAATATCAGATTTTTAAATGCTGGAAATGGTTTACATTAGAAATATATGCGTCGATGTCATAATATTATATAATTTATTTTGTATGGGCCATTGAGGCTAAAATAATATAAAATATAAAATATACACATACAAAATAAAAATAGTACCTAATAGTAATAAAAAAAAATGTCTGATATGATGTATAAATTGGTTAAGATTCATTGTTAAAACAAATAAGCGTAGAATATTAAAATATTGCATACATAATTACAATGTACATACAATTAATTTGTTGATGGCTTTTTTTTTTCTAAAAACCGATATAGAATTTCTTTAAAATTGTGAATATTAAAAACATATTATACTTTTTACAATTCAAAGTACATAAACATGATATATATGTATATTTAATAATTGTATTATCTTTAACTACAAAGGTATAAGGCATGATTCGGTTGCTGTTACAGGTCGTTTGACATTTATCATCCAATGAGAAGCGCTCAAAGATTGATACTTTTTGATTATATTTCTAAAAACATAATACCAAATAATTCCAATCATCAAGCTTATAGCAACCACTGTATAATATCCATCCAGAAATACAACACAACTTCCGCCATTCGTTTTGCATGACTGAAATAAAAATTAACCCTTGATCATGTTKACATTCGAATTATTGAAAAATTGTACAAAGAGTATTTTTATATGCATTTTTTGTTTTGTAACAAAAGTAATTTATAAATGAAGTATGAACGTTAAAATAATCTTACATTTTTTAAATCTTGAGTTGAACAGGTATTAAGATCATTATTCGTACACTTGCTGAAAGTAAAAAAGGCGACCAATTTCAAAACCAAAGTATTGGATGATAAGAATCCCAAGTARAAGAATGTATTGAATAATGTCATATAAGTGCCTCCAAAACGAGGATCACTTAATCGGCAAAADAAAGCAAACAAAGTCAATAACATGAAAAAGTTCAGTATCTGAAAAAAATTATTTTATACCTCATATTATTTATTACATTTAAAATTCAAGTTACATGGTAAACGTGAAAAAATTCACAACACTAATTTACAAAGCGGTTTGATCGATTTTATCTATTTAATAAATTGCAATAGGTTTTCTTTATTATTTAAATAATTGTACTTGAAAATTGATAATATTTATCATCAMATATTATATACAATGCATTAATTCATTCAATGAATATCTATATGATAGCCACATACATCCACTTACTTCGTTTGTTATTAATACGAATCCCATTATAAAATAATAATATGTTGGTACAGAGACAAGGCCATTTTTTCGTATCAAACTCGGTGTGTAATAGACCAGTAAAACATAAGTAGTACACCAAATTAATCTGAAATAAAACGATATAATTACATATATATTATATACTATTWACACTATTATAAACAGTGATTTGTTTAAAGGTGAGATACTAWTTTTAAAAGGTTTTGAAGTTTCAGGAAATTTTTTGTTAGATAATATCTTTAAGTCATTACATATAATAACTGTCGTTTTATACCAACGTTTTTGGAAAAAATCAATTATTTATATATTTTTATAAGTTTTTACCTTTTTTGATTGATATAATATATTTTTAGTTTTATATATTTTGAAGCAGATTTTGAACGAGTTGTTTATTARTTTTAATTATTTTTAAATTTAGATGATCGGAGTGAAGTGACACAAAAATAYCCATACAATTGTTGGTCTTCTACTCGGCTCATCTGAATTTTGATCACCTACTTAGTATAAGATTTATTGTTACTTTTTAGATTAAAAACAATGACTAGATAAAATTTAAATACATCTAAGTAAATAATTTAGTCAATTAATTTGATCTACCTGTAGGGTGTTATTTTGAGGAAATAACTCATTGGTTTCGGGCCTGTAACATACTTGGATACAAATATAGGAATTATACATTTTAAAATATAAAGTGCTGAATTAATTATCATAATGTTATCTTTTGATATACCAGCATCAATAAGCTTAAGACTTGAGACACTATCTGTTGCAGTATACGCAACCTAAAACATGAACAAAAAATAAAATATAGTAAAAAATTATATTAAAAATTCATTTAATCAAAAAAGCATTTTTTAAATCAAAATATAAAATAAAATAATATACATAGGTGTAAAAATAACTTATATAATATATTAATTAATTAACCAAGTTTATCAAACTAAAATAATATAATTAATATTCACCCTAATTGTCAGTAAAGCTACTGCTAAAACTTTAATGCGGGGTAGTTTCAAAATATCCCATAGTAATTTATAATTCTGAAATACAGTGATATTTATGTATCCATCTTCTGATCTACTATCCAGGCTATCTTTTTCTTTTTTGAATATGCCCACTATAAATGTGATCACCAAAGTCATAGTGCCATACAAATATAAAAAACCTATACAAATAAAAAAAATATAAAAATGCTGTATGATTTAATTGTAATTTAAACACAAATACATTTAAACYGTTTAAAATCCGTTAAATACTGTAAATAAAAGAGACTAATTATTTAATTATTAAGTCTCGAGTGATTTCATAGAATTAAAATTTAGAACAGAATAATTTTTTTAATGAGTATGACATAATTTTATAGTTTGGACAGATGATGAATCAAAATCATTAAAAAACGCACTAG